TTGGGTGACAGGGAGAACTGCTCACCGACTGCACAACGCCAGGAACAGGAGACCCGCGAAGCCCCAGGGTGGAGGCCGTGGCCGGGGCTCCTCCTGCATGTCGAAGCCCGGGCCCGAAGGCCCCGGTGGGCAAATCGATCAAGGCCTGCGGGACAGGGAAACTTAAGGAGGTCTCTGGGATAGGGCTGCTCGCCCGGCCAACCAAAGGATGCATAAGTTGGGGCTCCTAACTCACCATTGTCACCCAACTGACCCTTCTTATTCCTCCCCAAACGAAACAGTAAGAATCACCCCTTGATTCCAAGATTCCCTGGGCCCTGGAGGAAGAGCTTGGACTCATGCGAGCGCTTCTGAAGCCAATCCAGCCAGACACAATGCCAGGCACACAGGCACACACGTTCAAACTCAGACATAGACTCACAAACACTGCTCTACCACCTTGCCCACCGCTCCCTCTTCCAGGGCCCCACGACCCGCTTCACCCGCCCAACACAGCTTCACGCCCTCACAGGGCTAGGGGGCGGGATTGGAAGGGGGTTCCCCACCACCTACAGCCAGCCAGGTGGGGGTGGAGAGAGTTTTGCCTCCAGGTGCCGTCGAGGGCAGGCAACCTCTGTGAGAAGGGTGGAGGAATGGGTTCCCCACCTGCTCTACTCCATTCCTCCGCAGTAGGAAGAGAGGGGAGGCTCCAGGTGCCGCGAAGACAGGGAGGGGACCTGGTTCCCGCCTGAAAGAGACCTTGGCGCAGGCTGAGTCCTCTTCCTCACCTGCCACCTTTCCTAAACTACACGTTCCCCGCGTCCCAGCGGGGTCCCCTCTGGTCCTCACAGGTCCCAGCCTCTCTCGTTCATTGCCCTCCAGATCTGGAGGGCACTCCTTTATTTTTTGAGTCTTTATCTCTGGCAATATCTCCGGCGCGCTCTGCATCTCTGTGCCCTTGTGGGTGGATGCATGTCTGTCTGTCCGACTATCCCTGTGCCTGTACGTCCCTTCTCTCCCCGCTTTCCCGGTTCCGATTACCTCCAGCTGCTCTGGTGCAGGGTCTGCGACCGGCGGGATCGGGTCGCCTGGACTCGGGCAGCTCAAACCGTGGGGAGACTGCGTCGGATTCTGCCCCCTCGGCAGAGCCGCATTCTTCCAGGGTAGGGCCACTCCTCTTCGCCTCTTTCTCAGCGCCGCCGCGGCCGCGGAGAGGAAAGGAGGGAGGAAGGGAGGGAGTGATCGAGAAAGCTAGCGAAGAACTGGGGGCTCTAGCTCTACTCGCGCGGAACTCACAGGCGGCTCCGCTGCGGCTGACAGAGCTGCGGCCCCTCCCTGAGCCCGGGGCATCTCCACCCCACTCCTCGCACCCTCCGCCTTGACCCAGGGAGCGCAGTCGCTCCCCCTCCTCCCAGCGTACACACACGCCCTCTCCCCCGACGCCCGGATTCAGGCTTGGCCCGACTGAAGGAAGAGGTGGCCAGAGTTCCTCTCACCTGCTCTGGAGTCGCCAAGGTTGCAAGGAGGGTACGGTGACTCAGATTAGGCAGCCAGGACTCTGGTTCCAAGTGGTCATTTCTCTTTGCCTCAGTTTCCCCCCACGGAGAGCTGGATAGATGGAGGGTGCCTTTGACAAGATGAAGACCAAGTCGCCGGACAATTGCGTGTAGAGCCCTTGGCAAGAGCCACTGCAGGGCACTGGAAGCCAGTGGGAGAAGCTTCCTTCGGGGTGGCTTGGCTTCTGCCCACCTCTGAGTCCTGCATCTGCCCCTTGGGAGGGGTCGACTTTGGCCTCAGAGTTGGGCCCTAGCAGACTTAGGGAGCCCCAAAGATCTTCAGCTTCCCTTTGCTTCCCTTAGTTTGCAGGTATCCTTGACGACAGAGGTTGCCTGTCCTTCCAGGGATCCCGATTCTGCATTTTCAGTGGTCTGTATTCCTGCCCCAGGCTCACAGACTTACTTCACATGGAATGAGGAAGGCCTCTAGATCCCAAATTGAGCCCAGCCCTAGGATAGCCAGGGAAAGAACCTAATCTTAGCATGTACGAACCAAGGCAAGCTACCTTAGGGAGCTCTAGTGGCAGTGAAGGGGTTAGGCGGCACTGCACTCTTGCCTGACTCACCCTCCCAGCTCTAACCACTGTGGGCTATTTTTGCCAGAGAGGGGCCCCAGGCTTCCCAGCCGGCCCCCCCACCCCCACCCCTGCCAGACCGCAGCCCAAGGCATGGCTGGCCCTGTGAGCCCAAAGTTGGCACGTTGACTCAGAGACAGGCCCCCCAGGGAAGCAGAGCCACGGGGCTAAAACCCACAGCCACAATCATCTCTTCTCTGGTGGTGGCCATGCAGCTCTGCTGGGCAGCCAGCCTCCAGTCTGTGCTGCTGCAAGTCCTGCCCTGTGCTGCAGGGGGCACTGTTGTCTAGGGGGCAGAGTCTGAGAGAGATAAGTGATTTTCATCTGTTGGGTTATTTATTGACCACCTTTCTGTGCCAGACCTTGAGCAGGCTGGGGAGGTGAAAATGCCATGGTTCCTATCACTGGACAACTGTGACCACAAAGGGTTGCTTTTCTCTGTTTTGCCATATGGGGAGGGAGAGAAGGAGCCCTAGAGCTCTTATCTCTCCTTGTTTAGCAGCCAAGAATCAAACCAAGTATGGCTTTGGAGGCCTCCAGAATCCACAAACCCTATATCAGTAGCTTTTATCCTTACACCTGGATTTGGGGATCCTTGCCAGTATCTTGGTCCTCTTCCTGAATGTCAGTCTGGGACTATACCCAGGTCTCTGGAAGAGGGGGATAAGGTTTCCTATGACCCTCTTCTTCCATGGAAACCACTTGGACATTTGTATGTCTCCATGTGTCTCTGGGTCTCTCTTGAGTTTTGGATTTTTATGATTCTACCCTTCTTGGGCTGCAGTATAGTCAAGTGCCAAGGAAAAACCTGGGTCAAAACCATAGATGCCAAGTTCTCAGTGACCCCAGGGTTCCCCAAGCTGTCCTGTCCCAAATCCAAGGAGCCATACTACTGGTCCTTTTCACTGCAGAATCCCAACTCTGGGGCAGGAGTCCACAAGCAGGCAGACTGGGTGGCCTGAACTGGCCCCCAGTGCCCTCGGCCCGACCGGCTGGCCTGAGCACTGACCCACAGGCAGGCGGCTGGAGGGTGGTGGGGCAGGCGGGGCCTGGAGAGGGCTGCGGGTACACACCCATTGCCTAATACCCCAAGCACGCGGCCAGCTCCAAGAAAGGGGAGGGGCGGGAACCAGAGAGACCTTGACAAGGGTTGGGGCCATGACTGGAGGGGAAAGTGAGGGGCTGTCCTTACTTCAAGGAGCAAGTGGGAACAAGCTGGTTCCCCTTCCCCTTGACGAGAAAAGTGGAGGGCTGCTTTCCTATCATAGGGATGGAGCGTGTAGCAGAAACAATCTGGAAAGAACACTGGGGCCCTAGAGGGCGGGGGTCAAAGAAAATCATGGGGGCCCCTGGAGATTGGGGGATCAAGCAACTGAGGCGGTGGCTAAAGCTGAGAGCAGCCTCAGGAACCTCCTTCTCCTCCTCCCGCTGTGTTTGCCTTGGCGCGGGGTCCCGGGTGAGTCATCTATTGCTGAGCCGCTGATAGGGGTGGCCAGGCCCAGGGAACCCAAATTATAGGCCCTGGAGGGATGGATGCGCCTGCAGCAGTGAGCTCAGCAGCACTGCCCACCCTCCGCCTTTCCAGCTTTCTGTTGCAGCACCATAGGCCACCACCTGGAGGCAGCAAAGGGGTCTGCAGCCCGACTGCACTAGACTCTCAGGAAGCCCCCCACATTCAGCAGTTCACCCCAGCAAGTCTGCTAGATTACCCTGGACAGAACTTTGCCCTCTTTTCTACCAGAGGCTGATGCCTTCCCAGTCCAAGGAAGGCAGTGCCGCCTGCTGGTGTTTCAAAGAAAGGTAGGTTACTCTGCCCATAAACTCAGCCCTGGTCCCCTGCTTCCTCCCCAGACCCCAAGATCAAGGTAAAGACCTTTTCTCCTCTGACATCTCTCTCCCCTGTTGCCATTCCAAGGGGGTGATTTGCTACTGATTTTCTACCTCAAGCCCTTAAAGTTATTCGTGGTCAAAAGTGATACAGAGAAAAATAAAGCGGGATAAAGGAGATAAGTAGTGGGATTCCATTTTGTATAGAGGGAAGGAAAAGGAAGTGAGGAAAAAACCCATGGAGATATCTGAGGAAAGGCATTCTGGAAGACAGAAGAGCAAGTGCAAAGATCCTGAGACAGGAGCTTGCTTGGTATGTTCAAGGAATTAGCAAGAATTGTGTGGCTTGAGGGAGGAACCTACCAGGGAGAGAGTGGCAGGCAATAAGGTTAGAGGACAAGGAAGGAGTAGGGTCAGATCAATAGGGTCTTGTAGTCCACTGTAAAGGTTTTGCCTTTTCCTTTGAGTGTGATGGGTAATCACTGGAAAATTTTGAGCGGGGGAATTAAATAATCTGACTTTTATTTTAGAAAGAATGGCTCTGTTTGCTGTGTGGAGAATAGACTGTAGGGGTGGGGCAAGCACAGAAGGGAGAACTGTGAGGAGGCTATTACGATAATACAGGAGAGAGGTGATGGTGGCTCTGACAAATTTTGCAGCAGTAGGGTGGCAAGAATAGACTATATTCTGATATATTTTGAAGACAGAAGGATACGGTTTGTTGATTGATTTGATGGTGCAGTATAAAACAGATGAGTCAGAGATGACTCAAATTCTTTTCTTGAGCAACTAAAGAATGGAGTTGCCATTTACTGAGATGAGCATGACTGATGACAGAGCAGGTTAGGGCGAGGAAATAATTGGGAATTCAGTTTTGGACATATGCATTTTGAGATGCTTACTCAAGTGTTAAATGTGCAAGTTCAGAGTCCGGGGCCAAAGACATAAATTAGGGAGCATATGACTGGCTAGTTCATCAAAAGAATGAGTATAGACTGAGAAGGAGCTCCAGACTGAATTGAGGTACAGTCCCAATTTAGTTTAGAAATTGGGTACATTGGTTACAAAAGGTGGAACCAGGTAAGGAGACTGAGAAGGCAAGTAGCCTAGGAGGTAGAAACGGTGTTCCAGAAAACAAGTGAGAATATTTCAAGAAGGAGGAAGTGTTCAACTCTGTCTGCCATTCCTGAAAGGTTGATTAGGATGAGCACTGAGAGTTGACTGTAGAGCAACACAGAGGTCATGGATGATTTCAATAAGGAGGTATAGTGGGTTCAAAGGTATGGTTAGGGTGCAAAGATAGAATAAAGAAAATAAATTGTCACTAGCCATTAAAGCAAACCTTTTGAGTTCTGCTGTAAAAGAGAGCAGACAAATGGGGTAATTTTGAGTGTTAATGTGGAGTCAAATGAATTTTGGGGGTTTTTATATGGGAGATATTATAGCATGTTTATATGCTGATTGGTGTGATCCAGTAAAGAGGTAAGTCGATGCAGGCAAGAAACAGAAGACAATTGATAGAGTAACGATTTGATCTAAATAGAAATTTGGGCCAGGTCATACATAATGTGACCCAGACCTAGAGCCCTCGCACTC